TTTGCAAAGAGTCTCACACCTGCCCAATTGTTCTGCACTGGACTCACGGTGATTCTCAATAGTCATCACAGTTAGTATCTGCGTGATATTGCGAAGAGCTTCTTTCCATCCCATCTAGTTGTTCAATTTTTTCAAACCTTCGTACGTTGTTGGTGGTTTGCTTGCTACTCGAACCATCGTCAGCCATCAGATTTAGGTGAATTCCTTGCTCCGATACCAATTTTGGTGCGGAAGCGTAATGAAATTCTTATAACAAGAATTAAAATTAGAAAATTCTAGGAATAACTTGCTTGCATTGATTGAAGAATAATTGATGAAATGAAAATTGTACAACGTGTCCTATATTTATAGGTAAATTATCTCTATTCCTAATAGGATTAGGAAATTGTAATAAGGAAACTATTAAACTAATAAAACTCTAATCTAATCAAACTGCTAAAAAATATAAAACATCATAGTAGTAGGAAACTAATTGTAGTTGTACTACATCAATTATGTTTCTGAATTTTAATCTTCTAGACAAGTTCATGCAATCTTAATTTCAGTTGGTTTTTTGCATCAACTAAAAAATTAATACAGGAACATGTGCCATTACAAACTTCATATGGTAGGCATGAGTTCAATCTCCATAGCTTCGGATCACCATGTTGATTCATATTTCGAATAGCTTATTTTGCCCGTTTTGGTTCCGCTAAAAAATCGATTAAAAACCAATTCAAAGTCAACTCTTAATTTTAATAACACATTTTATGGTATATACAATTTTTCAACTGCACATTCCATCAACTTATATCAAAATTTACTGAAAGTCTGATTTTTATCTAAACCAAATAGGTGCTTTGTTTCTAAACTGACTTATGGAATTTTTTTCCAGCATTCGCTCTCTACATCAATTCAATTATATGTAAAATTTAAATAGTCGCCAATTTAGGCTTTGATTGCTTAGCTTAGCACTTTCCAACCCCTTAAACCCAACCCCGTTGTTGAATAAGAAAAGGTGGAAGTGTATTTTATGTTTTCCCTCCTTGGTATTGTGCTTGCTGTAAAAAAATTTCATTTTGTGTGTTTGATATCTTGGTTGTCACCAACAAAATAAATAATCAACTGTAAATATTTCTTTTTCAAATATTGGATTTCATGAAACATGCTTCAGTTGTTTGGGGTAATCAATTTAGCTCTTCAAATATTGAGCAGGGATATTTTCTTATCTTTAGTCATAAAACATACAAGTTCCAGTGCTTTATTCCTTGGTTGTAACCTACAATGTAAACAATCAACTGTAATTTATTTGTTTATTATTATTATTATTATTTTTTTTAATATTGGACGTGGTGAAACATGCTTGAATTGTTTGGATATTTGATTTGGTTATCCAAATATTGAACCAGGTCACATTTTATATGCCTCCCTTTATTTCCTATGGATGCAAGAAATATCTATATAGTGTTCTCATATGATGTGCATGCTCCCCACAAATCAATTTAATGAAACCTGACTCGTGTTTATATATATAAAATAATTCCAGCCATGATTTTGCCTCTGTATTTATATGCGATGTGAAACTGACTTGATCTCTGTCTCGCTATTAGGATCCTTCTGATAAGAAAGTCATTATCTGTGATGAGAAGCTGAAGCAAATTTTTGGAGGAAGGGATCGTGTTGGGTTCCTTGAGATTGCTGGTTTGCTTAATCCTCACTTTCTTAAATAACCATATTTCAGATTCAGGCGAATGGTGAATGACTCTACATCTTGCATGGAAAGCACTTGTTCTGTTTATGTGGTTCAAGTTCGATTGACGGTATTACTCTTAGTGGAAAAGCTAGTGAACATTAGTGATGCTTTTCCTTTATAGTCTAGTTTCAACATGCCTACACAAAGAACACTCTTTTCATTGTCTGAGATGGATGAGTAGTTCTGATTTTTGATCCTTATGTTGGGGTTGAAAACGAAATGTTTGTAATGACTGCAGATTTCAATATCTTTAATCTATCTTATGCTTTTGCAGACAACACAATTTGAATTCTCATGTTTTGAAACTTCCCAGATCATAATGCAGGTGACGTTGGCTCTCGCCCAAAAGATCGGGTTATTGAGCTACTTCAATTTTGGTGTGGCATTTTTTTTTTCTTCAAGAGCGTAATAGACCTGTGGTGATGGTAATAGCTGTTCCATGCTCATGAATTTTTTTCACTTTTCCGTGTACATGAATAGTTAGGAGTCAGTAATTGGTTGATATTTACTTGTGTTATTTTTTTGTTCGGTTGATTTCATAGTGCAACTGGTGTGGACATCGAGGTAGAAAGCAGCAATAAATGTGGTTTTACTTTTATCTGAATAATGTTAGAGTTGATTATAAGAAAATGTAAAATTGTCACTGGGTTCAATCCACAAGGTAAAAGAATGAACAAGGACTTAAATTAGGTAGGATCGTAATAAGTAGTCTCGTGCTTGCCATTTAGGATTGTCATCGAGAATTCTGAACAGAAAATTTAGAGGGAAGAACAAACAATTGAGGAGTACATTATAACGATATTCGCTGAATGCATAGAGGAAATTACAGTGTTACGCTAACACTTGTATTGTAATTATTTATTTCAAAAGTTAGGCGCTGAAGATTTCATTTAAAAATTAGGTACACTCTATGTCAATTCATTTTACATCCAACCACTTGTGTCTCTCTAAAAGAACTCTATAATCTCTTTCTATACGC